CTTTGCTGCAATTTTATCTTTTATCTCAGCTAGCAGTTGTGCCTTTTCATTATCGCTCACTCTCGTAATGCATCAAGTGTATGATCCTCAGACTAATTCCAAGGAAAAAAAAAAGTCCAAAACTGGCTTTATGCACAACGGAGTTTTCAGTAAATAAGCCCCCGTGGGACAAACTGTTACACAGTGCATGAGAATTACCATGCAGCTCTCATTAAGAGTAACACATGTTGCACGCCTAAATTACACAATTTGTTCAGTTACTCATATAGGTGAAGCTGTGAACACACTTTGCTTGCAGTATCTGGGCCAATTTTTGTACCAGCAGTAGTACCTTATGATTTTCTTTATTTTTATAATGACTGTTACTTGGAAGCACTCATACCATTCTATTTTTTTCAACAATACATACTTGCCTAGTAAAATGTAACTGAATGCAAGCTAAAAAAAAAAAAGTATTAGTTACAAAAGTGACCGCCTACTATTACTAATTATGAGTACTACAATACATACAACTGCTTTGTTAAACAGCAGTAAATCCAAAGGTTATTAACAACTAATTTCAACATTTTCGGATACTGTAAAAACATTAAGGATAATAAAATTTACTGAAAGGTTATTTTTGTTCGATTGCTAAATAGAACCGTATAACAATTTTATTTTGGTAGAACTCTTGACACTCATATCACTTTAAACAAACTTGAAACATTAGGAGCAAAGCCAGTCTGAGATATTCATCCTCTCTGCAGTTTTCATATCAATCACTGTGCTAGCACTGAGCTTTTTTAATAGATTTCTAAAGATTTTTGAAGAAAAATGGCAGATATTTAGCATTATCTATCAAGCCATAATTCCTCTCTATTAATCATAGCATTAGGGCTAAAAGGAGACACAAATCAAGTTTTAACAGATATTACTTCCATTTGGTTCCTAAACAGTAATATTTCACCATTGTATTTATCTTCTGCTTGACAACTGTTTAATCTTTGGTTTTTTCAGGTTTTTTTGTTCTTTTTAAGAAAAAGACAAGTCTTCTGCTTTGCAACAAACACTAAGTTTTTACACATAAGGAATAAAGGCCATTAGAAGAAAAGCTAATAAAATTGCCTCTTGACTGATAGAACCCAACTACTGAATATCCATGAAGAACAAATACAGTTCAGTGCCTTTAACTTCATCCTGTAAATGAGAACTTTGGTCCAAACTGTACCGAGTCTTACACTTGTATGTTCAAATCTGAAGGAAATCGAAGTGGATTGCTACTTAAATGACAGAGGGGAGAGAAGGTTCAGCAACAGCTAGCAGAAAAGTTTAGCAGGTGCTCCAGAAGCTTTACAAGTCTCCTGGAGAGAAGAAACGAAGGATCAAACAGATAAAAAGAGCAGAACTGCAGCAGGTAGCAACGTTTGCTCATCAAATCATGACCCACAGCCATCGAGAAGGGGTGTGAAGTCTATGAATGACAGCAGAGGAAAAAAACTGGACTTACAGACATATCATCTGTTACTTCCTGATCGATTCGCATTTCTATTTTGGTCTGTCCTACAAAGATTTTATTCTCAGGCTTTGTAAAGGTGATTGGAATGTCATCATATGTTTGTAAATATGATCAGCCAAATGGTTCAAGATACAGAAGAGAGACATGCTCATGAGTTAAGGACTGTACAGAAATGTGCTATCTTAACACATGCATATGCTTTTTTTTGTACAGCCACAACTTCCTCACTTTCACAGAAACCAAAATCACAGTTTTTACCCAAAGATACTTCAGACAAATCAGATGAGGTGCCAGCTGAGACCATGAGTTTGGTACAAATTCTCCATGCCCTCAAAGGAAGTTAACAAACGAGCAGTAGCCCCCATCTTTCTTCAGATGGAAATCGGGGCATTGAAACTATACAGTCACAAATAATACGCATACACCTCAACAGAAACCCTTGAGAAGACTTCCTAACATCAAGCGGCAAGTAACAACCTTTGCTTCAGTAGCCAAAATATACACATACCTTTATGAACTAATAAATTTACACATACACACATGTGCGTGCATCTCTAGATAGATAGATTGATACACATAGACACATTTCAGGTCAACCTGAAACTACTTATTTGCTTAGTTTTGGCAAAACAGGACAGAAAAGGTCTGAATCATCCGAAACTTTTCCTTTGCCCCAAAGCCAGTACAAATGCACGTTAACTCTGCTATATGGTCAACACTACGCCCAGAACAGCTCTACATCTCTTTAACGTGCAGTTACAGATGCAGGTGCACATGATCTTTTTCCCTATGCAGCCTACTTCAGTAACATCCACAATTTCACCTAGCTTAGATAGATCACAGAATCATAGAATCGCTTAGGTTGGAAAAGACCTTTAAGATCATCCAGTCCAACCATTAACCTAACACTACCAAGTCCACCACTAAACCAATTAAGGGTAGCATAGTAATTTCATGTTTCCTGGCTTGGTGGCTAGATTCTTTTTTAATGAAAGTAAAAACTAGGAATCATTAAGGTTGGAAAGGATCTCTAAGATCATCAGTCCAGCCATCAACCAACACCACCATGCCCACTAAACCATGTCCCAAAGTGCCACGTCTGCCCGTTTTTTGAACGCTTCCAGATTGTCTCAACAACTAGTTTCAAAAGAGTCATCTTGTTCACAAATAACATTCCTTATGTTCCTATAAAGTATTGCATTATGAAAGCATTTCTAAGCTTCTGAATGTGCTCTAAGAAAAAGGATAATTATTCTAACTTCCCACACCTTCATTGTATTAGAACCAACCATTTTTTTAAACAAACCACTAACGAATGCAACCACTTAGACAATACTCACTGGTACATACAAAGAATTTAAGACATTTGCAAGTGCTACTTACCTCAGTAGCAAACTGCTGCAATCCACCAATATTAATTGGTCCCTCCTCAGTGGCATACAAATTGCAGCCACCAACACAGAGATCTGATGTTGGACACACCATGCCGCATGTCAGGCCAAGTGGATTGTCAGAAAGAATCATTTTGGCAGCTCCATAGTAGTTCTGAAGGAAAAAAAAAAAAAAAAAAAAAAAAAAGAGGGGGGAGAGAAAAAAGAGAGATATTCACATACCAAGGAAGTAAAAATTCAAAAATTCAAGAGAAAATATAAAATACTTTTTCTTTAACTGGCTAGTAGAATAATATATAAATATAAATATATTAAGTAACACTGACATGATTTAGACATACCAACACGTTACACAGCATTATGTGAAAGACACTGGAAAAAAGTCAGCAAAATTGTTGATTATGCAAAGATAAAACTTAACTTTTTAGCTTGCAAAACAGTTAAAAGCATCTTCAGTCTGAGGTCGTTGGAGGATTTTTAGTGGCTTAACAAATCTACGTTGGAAAACTACAGTGCCTGCATTATGTACTTGTAAATACTTTCTCCATTTCTAGGTCAATTGGGCAGTAGCTGAGTTGTAACCCTTGCTGGAGGTCTGACCAGAAAGTGCCAGTTAGATTATCAGTTCTCTATGACACAGGGAATGAAAAGCTTATTTTACACATCTGTGCACAGCATCTCTGTGGATATGCCTGTCCTTCACACCAGATCAGTAGTGCCAATTGTCCCAGACCCGTGATGAGGAGAAGGTTTCCTACGTAGCTACCTACAGATACTGCACTACCGAATTCTTTTCTATTCTATTCTACCACATACCGATCAGGGCAAACATTTATTTTCCTGTTTCCCTAAATAGCAAACCAGGGAGCCAATTAAAAAAGTTACGTACGATTCACAACTTCACCGATTCTCAATAATCGGTGCACATCGTCAGAAAAGGAACAGTTTCCTGCTCTATGAGAGCTAGCAAGATTTCTTGCCATAATAAAAATCTAAGGAATGGACGTTAGCAAGCTCCCAGTGCCTGATGTTGTGAGAAAACAACCTCTGGTTGTTTTTTTAGACTGGATAATTCTCTTAAGAGGGAGCATCAGAGGAAATGCCAGGAGTGAACTGAAGTCTCATTTAGAGGGGCAGAACTACCGATGGCAGTTCTGCATTTACATTACATTGACATTAATGAAACTATGGTGTAACTAAAGCAAACCATTTACATCCCATCTTTTCTTCTCTATAGTCAATATAGAAGTTTACGTAATTGTATGCTCTAATTCTTTCTTCATTTGGCCACTCCTCCCACCTCCTCTAAAAGCCCCACCAAGGAAAGTCCATGAAGATGGGTTAATGCTAGAGTTTTCTTTAAGGCCAGAAGGCAGTACAGTACCCCTTAGAACTAGCGCACGGCTGAGGTTCCACAAAAGTGTCTTCAGTGAGAAACTGATGCTGGGAACTCATTCCAGCTTTCTCCAAACTAGCAATAACCGAGAGATTAAAGAACAACGTGTCTCCTTCCTCTTCCACCACCTCTTCCATATTCCAATCTTCAATAATCATCACTAACATGAAACTGGTTTTTTATAACAAATATCTTTACCGCTCTGTCCCAGGACAGCTGACTCAGACCAGCCAGAAGATGTAGTGTTCAAACAACGTGAAGTACTCGGTCGCAGCAGACCCTGTGCAATGCCTGTGACTTAACTGTCTGGCAAGTAGGCTAACGTATGCAGAAGGGTTTATTCAAAGCGAACGCTGTGCCACACACAGCAAGACTCCAGTTACGAATAAAAAGAGCAAGGTCGAGATCTGACAATAAAACCACCAATGGGTAACAAGACTTTGGTTTGGGAGGTTCAAATTCACTAATGGCACATAAAAAGTCTGAGGGTAAAATTCTTAAAGTTAAAACAGATGCTATGACGCAGCTAGAGATTCACAAGAAAATGCCGATGTTTAAGAAATGTATACGTAGATGTAAACTGGACCTTTTGCTTGCAGATGCTGGTCTACTGCACAGCATGAGCCCTTGTCCATCAGCTGGAAACAGAAACACGCTACCTGGGTGTACTTCCACAGGATTTTCTTAGACGCTATTAAAATCCATTGAAACTCTAGTCCCGGCTGAATGGGCAACCCCTTTACACAACTGTTCTGGGAGAACTTTCAACCATTTTGCCTGCGGTGACTGGTAAGGCTCTTTATCATCCCCAATTCTCATTTATTCCAAAGCAAAGCAGTATCAGTTAACGGGAGTTGTACGTATTAGCAAATATTTTTGCTCTTCCAGATAAGTGATACTGTTTTGATGGGCCAGATGTTGTTAAAACCAGGCAGTGAAGACACTGTAAGCTCAGAAGTCTAGTTATAGTGGAGATGTCCCTGACACATACCCCTGCAGACAGCAGAGGTGACACAGTCAACGCAGGAGACCCCATCTTTTGGAAGCAGCACTCGGAGACCAGCCTAGATGCCTTACAGCACCTGAAGTGGCACGAGATGCCTGCTCCCCAGGCAATCGCACCTACCCATTCTTTTTTTCCACTCTAAAGGAGTAATTACAAATTAGCACTGGGGATTTTTCTCAAAGACAAACAGTTTTCAAAGAATTTTTGTTCAGTTTGATATTTCACTACATATAAGAATTATATTTTTCCCTTCCTGTGTTGTCCAGGATTATTATTTTTATTGTCTTCAACTCTGGTTCAATGGAAACAATTACAACAACGTGCATTTCCATTTAAGTAACTTCATTAAGGATTTTCTACATTTTTAGGCTTCGCAATTAAAATCAATATACAAAGCTAGTTATTATGCCTCGAATGCAAAGCTGTTAAACTATTCCTTCTTAAAATTAATTTTATTACATATCTGTAAAGTATATTCTCACACTTGAGCTGCGCCACTACAGGCAGCGTCAACACAGCTGGCACATTTTACTTGTTTTGCAAGCAAAAACCAAACTTTGAGCACAGCTATGCTGCAGAAAGACAGGCTATGTTAAAGTAGCAAGTGACTTCGGAGAGCTGGGACCAGGGTCACTGCGAGTACAGGACTGACATCATGGCTTACTGAGCAGATAGCCAGGGAAACCTGTCTCAGAACATTGTGCCAGAGTTCGGTAAGGAGGAGGCAGGGACTGAAGTCCTAATAGGGGTAACTGCTGCTGAACTCTGAATTTGGGGGAAACACGATGAACGTGCAGTCCTGATTTGGGAAGTTTTGAGATGCTGCTGCTACTACCACTAGCAGTGGTAGCACCTGAGAAAAAGAGGAGCCCTGCCCTCTTCAAATTAGAGTACCAAAAGATATCTCATATATGTTACCATGCTAAATATTAAGGCATCGGATAAACTGTATCAAAGAGTATATATCTTCCAGTCTTAACACCCCAAATAAGTTTGATTCATAAAAGATAGTCACACCTAAAGTCAAAGTATTCCACTTCTCTTTGGGAGCAGCAGGGCGAGTCTTCTGCACTGCTTCCCCAGTGTGTTCCAACTGTGCTAAGCGGAGACCTCGAAAGATGAAAGGGAAGCAAAGGTTGAGTGCTGACTTGGTTTCCCTGTCTACCAACAAAAAGTGACCCTGTGTCAATTTTACCATTGGTAAACTTAGACTTGCAGAAGAGCTGCGGTTCCCTAACTCTCCTCTTCCACCTTCCAGAACACCAGTGTAACCACTGTTCCCATTACCACCGATCCCATTGTCCACTACCAGTGAAAGGATACAACAGCATCCTGGCTTGTGTCAGGAATGGTGTGGCCAGCAGGAGCAGGGAGGTGATTGTGCCCCTGTGCTCGGCGCTGGTGAGGCCGCACCTGGAATGCTGTGTCCAGTTTTGGGCCCCTCGCTGCAAGAAGGACATTGGGGTGCTGGAGCGTGTTCAGAGAAGGGCAACGGAGCTGGGGAAGGGTCTGGAGCACAGGGCTGGTGGGGAGCGGCTGAGGGAGCTGGGGGTGTTCAGCCTGGAGAAGAGGAGGCTGAGGGGAGACCTGATCGCTCTCTACAGCTGCCTGACAGGAGGGGGCAGGGAGGTGGGTGTTGGGCTCTTCTCCCACGTAGTTAGCAATAGGATGAGAGGAAATGGGCTTAAGCTGCGCCAGGGGAGGTTTAGGTTGGATATTAGGAAAAATTTCTTCACGGAAGGGGTGGTCAAGCATTGGAACAGGCTGCCCAGAGAGGTGGGGGAGTCACCATCCCTGGAGGGGTTCAAAAAACGGGCAGACGTGGCACTTGGGGACATGGTTTAGTGGGCATGGTGGTGTTGGGTTGATGGTTGGACTGATGATCTTAGAGGTCCTTTCCAACCTCAATGGTTTTATTCTAGTTTTACTTTCATTAAAAAAGAATCCAGCCACCAAACCAGGAGACATGACATTGATTCTTACTCTTCCCTTAATTGGTTTAGTGTGGACTTGGTAACGTTAGGTTAATGGTTGGACTGGATGATCTTAAAGGTCTTTTCCAACCTAAATGATTCTGCGATACAGACATGTGCTGCTACCATGACTCTGCGCAGTGGCTCGAGAACAAGCCCATCTGCAACCTTCCTGATACCCAGGGCACAATCCAGCACGGAGGCTGGGCTCTGGGCAGGACTTCAGGAGCCCAGCTCCGAGTTGCTTCGTCTCTTTGTCCTTCCATTCCATTCCATCATTTATCCTGCCTCTACTGTGTTGATTTATTATCTAACGTATCAAACATGACTAGAAAAATGTTTTCCAATACTTGACAAAAACTGGCAGGGAAATACAGTATAGTCTAGTAAGTTAGACTAAGTGGTGTTACACAAACTGTGTTACAAAGCTGCAAACCATCATGCTACTACAGTAATAAATGAGAGCTTGTAGTATATGTACAGCAGTATATGTACAGTATCTTAAATGTTTAGTTACATGAACACTTTGTGCTTATGTAACTTTTTTTTTTTTAAGCTGAAAACATGTATTAATGATCATTACATGTACCAGTGACATTAAAGGTAGAATATTCATAGAATATTCACACTTTACAAAAAATTATTGATCGCTTTTCTTTCACAAAACCAGGGTGTAGTAGGCTGCACATAAAATAGACATGAGATGCAGACCTGGCACGCCGGTAACTACACACCACATGTCGTATATGAGAAAGGATCAGAATTAAAGGGAGGCTGGC